TCAAATTGGAAAGGAAGAAGTAAAATTATTGTTAGCAGATGACATGATCTTAGCTGCAGGATACAAAATCAACACACCAGAATCAGTTGCACTTCTATACATTAACAATAAACAATCCTAAAAGGAATTAAGAAAACAATTCCATTTACCAAAGCAGCAAAAAGAATAAAGTACTTAGGAATAAATCTAACCCAGGAGGTGAAAGACTTGTACACCGAAAATGACAAAACACTGTTGGAAGCAACTAAAGAAGACACATGTAAATGGAAAGATATTCTATGTTCATAAAGTGGAAGACTTAAGATGTTCAACCCAAAGCAACCTACAGATCTTCAGAAATAGAAAAATTCATGCCAAAATTCATATGGAATCTCAGTGGACCTCAAACAGCCAAAACAACCTTGGAAAAGGACAGAGGTGGAATCAAGCCTCCTGATTTCAAAATATTCTTCAAAGCTACAGTAACAAAAACAGCATGGCAGACTGGGCAGTGGATCACACCTATAATCCCAGCACTTTGGGAGGCCAAGGCAGGTGGACTGCTTGAGTCCAGGAGTTTGAGACTAGCCTGGCAACAGCAAAACCTCATCTCTACAAAAAATTAAAAAATAAAAACATGGAGTCCTCCCTGTGTGGGGTCTGCAGCCCCTGGTCCTCAGTAGCTTTCATCCGGGGTCTGCTTTGGGGGCAAAGGACAATGGACTCATCCACCCACCGCCCCTTTCACCGCAGCCCCGTGGCCTTTGCCAAGTCCCCTCCAGGCTGGGTTTAAAGTACTAGTACATTTTTCTTCTGGGATACAAGGCCAGTACAGCAGGAGGAAATAAAAGCTGCAAAAGGAAAAAATAAAAAAATAAAAATAAATAAAAACAGCATGGTAATGGCATAAAGACAGACAAATAGAGCAGTGGAAGAGAACAGAAAGCACAGAAATAAACTCTTGTGTATATGGTCAGATGATTGTCAACAAAGGTGTCAAGACCTCTCAATGGGGAAAGGAGTCTTTTTAGCAAATGGTCTGGGAAAAACGGATAGCCACATGAAAAAGAATGAAATTACACCCTTATCTTACACTACATACAAAAATTAATTCAAAATGGGTTAAAACCTAAATGTAAGACCCAAAACTATAACATTCCTAGAAGAAAACACAGGAGAAAAGTTGCATGACACTGGACTTGGCAATCATTTCTTGTATATGATGCCAGAAACACACATAACAAAAGCAAAAATAGACAATTGGGACTACATTAAACTTAAAAACTTTGTGCATCAAAGGACACAGTGAAATGGCAACCTAAGGAATTGAAGAAAATATTTGCATATCATATATTTGATAAGGGGTTAATATTCATAATTTACAAAGCACTTCAATATCTTAACAAAATTTACACCTTACAGGGCGTGGTGGCTCACGCCTATAATCCCATCACTTTGGGAAGCCAGGGTAAGAGGACTGCTCAGTCCAGGAGTTCAAGACAGCCTGGGAAACATAGCAAGACCTCATCTCTACAAAAAATTAAAAAATTAGCCAGGCATGATGGTGCATGCCTGTAGTCCCAGGTACTCAGGAGGCTAAGGTGGGAGGATTGCTTGAGCCCAGAAGGTCAAGGCTGCAGTGAGCCATAATTGTGCCACTGTGCACTCCAGACTGGGCGACTGAGTGAGACCCTGGCTCAAAAACAAAAACACATCTAATAACCTGATGTTAAAATAGGCAAAGGGCTTGAATAGACATTTCTCCAAAGGTAATATACAAGCACAAGAGAAAATACTCAGTATCACTAACCATAAGAGAAATGCAAATCAAAATCACACCGAGGTATCATCTCACACTCATTAGGATGGCCCCTACCAAAAAAAAAAAAAAAAAAAAAAAACCCAAAAAA